TCCTCCTCCTGCTCCTCCTCCTCCTCCTCCTCTTCCTCCTCCTCTTTCTCCTCCTCCTCCTCTTCCATCGAGGACAACATTCCTCTCAGAGGAGCTTATGAGTTGGGGTTCCCACTGCTTTGATGCTGACCTTGGTTTAGTTGCAGTAAAACCTGCTCTAATGGCCATCTGTGTAAGACTATCTCCTGTACAAACGACCATGCATTACCCATTTTCTCTCTTGTTCATTTATTATTACATTACAATGACACTCAGTAAGACGTCTTGCCGTCTAAGGCTGCCACTTTTCTCCTCGACAATAGATGGCCGTCTTAAACAATTTCACTTATGATGAAAAGTACTAGTTTCATCCGAATTGACTCGTTTATTTCTTATATTAGACAATATTTGATCATTATGCTGGTGGCGACTGAAATTGAAATTAACTGCAAACTCTTTGCAGTTGTTTTGTCTTTAGTGAGGAATAATAGGCTTACTAGTCGAGATAAAAACCCACCTTTCAGAATTTTTTCTCATTTCCAGCTCGTTGTAAAGAAAGCGCTCAGTGGATTGGTGTCCATTCTCTATTTCCTGAGGCTTAGAAGTTGTTCACAAGTATTCACCGATTTACATGTTCAAACTTTGTTTTTGTCAATTAGGCTAGTTGTTATTGGGGGGGGGTTATAGTAAAAAAAAAACTCATGAAGGGGGAGGGGGATATTTATTGCTTATGTATTTTTTATCAACGAAAATATACAAATAGGCCTATTATTCTGACATCCACTTTGAACGTCTGTGTTTTACAAAACGTGTGAACCAAAATTCCGTATTCTCTCGCCAATATTTCACAATGCCATAATAAGGACTCTAGTATAGAAAGTTTCATCTTATTTCCATAAATGTTGCCGTGGCAATTTCCTGTCATAAATGAAAAACAAATAATTGGCAATAGAGTGTTATCCGTCATCCTTCATGGATACTCAGGAAACTACATGTAATTAAATTTTTCAAAACATCAGCCTGAGACAAAGTGCCACCTAGACTTTAGTAGTCGGATTTCGAGGACATTTGCAAAGTGTTCTTTCAACTCTCTTTGCTTTTACTTTGAATGCATCAATACTTGTGATTATTTGTATTTGTTTGTTTGACTTCAGAGGAGCACATCGTCTTCCAATGACAGTCATACATAATAATGTAGATTCAGTGCAAGGGAAACGAAAGCAAGACAGAAATAGCAAAAGAAAAGAACAGCAACAGGACCTTCTAGATCTAGAGCTTGTGGTCTTCGAACTAACTTCTGTGAAAGCGTGTGCAATTTCTTCCTTGTTTAAAATTCAATTTGTTTTTAATTATTTTTTAGGGGGGGGGGGGGTAACGATAATAGGTAGTTCTGTTGTGTCAAATTATGTGAAAGTGGCAGTCTCAGTCTCTGCTTTTCGTCAATAAGTTTAGTTTATGTCACCTACCCTTGTACTTGTAGCGAGATTTGGCGGTTGTCAAATGCAAGCACATTCATCGATTAACTTAGCACATGCATCGAACGTATTACGTGCATGGGGGCAGCAACAACGACCCAGTGGGGCTAGAAGGAATGAAACTGTAACATAGGTATTGGTGCAGTTTATAGGCTACATAATATTATTTAAAAATATATATAATTTCAACACACGTGAGCGCGACCACACATTATGCTCATTCGCAAACACTAGCGGAGAGAGAGAGAGAGAGAGAGAGAGAGAGAGAGAGAGAGAGAGAGAGAGAGAAGGTTGACGCAATGCATTTAGATGGGATATGAGAGATACAGTGGTATCACACAAACAGTTAAGTTAGAACACACAGAGAGAAGCGGCTGAAACAATGAATGTAGAGGGAGCTATATATGAGTAAAAGGAATGTAGAGGGAATTTTATCTGAGTGATACAGGGGTACCACATGCACAGTAAGAACAAGGGAGCCTATCAGCAACAGGGAATCTTTAGGCCATTCCCAAAGGGGAGCCATTTCTCGTTCTAGTGCACAGCAGAACTGTATATGGGCTGATCCAACAATGTCATGCTCATAACTGAGCCTGCACTACAACAAGGAACTGCTG